TGTACTTGTATTTTGTTTTGTTTTTGTTTTTCTTCCCCTACCAGGAATTGAACTCACGACCTCGTGCTTGCCAGGCAGGTGCTGTGCCGCTGAGCTAAATCCCCAGCCCCTAAGCAGCTATACTTGTAATCTTATTGGTTGATCATAGTTTGATCCACATTGTACCCACCTCATGATTTTGCTCTATAAAACATTCTCAGAGAAATGGGCTCTGTGGCAACCCTCTTTTGGGTCCCCTCCTGTTTCTCAAGAGCTACCTCTCTCAAATTTTTCTACTCGTAACTGCCGTTGTTCCTTAGAATTCATTCACTGATTTTGGGGAACACAAACTCAGTGTATCTGAGAGCTAGCAGGTTGGGAGTTACATTTTCCCCTGTATCACTCTCACCTCTACACCTCCCCACCCCAGGGGAGCCCAGGCTCCCTCCTGATTTGCTCAAAGCTGAGGGCAGAGGAAACGCATGAGGCTCCTTCGGGAGGAGAGGGACAGAGGAGAGGGACGTGGAGCCCCAGAATGTGGCACTCCACTCCCGAACTCCTGGGTTCCCACAGCCTCCCCACACTAGGCCAGCTGGCCTTCCTTCAGGAACAACTGAAAGTCAAACTTAAACAGAATGTCCCTCTGGGGACATTCCCTCCCAGAGTGGTGGTTATTTTGGGGACCAGATGTAAATGTCCCCCAAGGGGAAAGCTGTCATTTCTCAGCATCCTGCCCCACTCCTACCACCCTCCATTCTCCAAGTGTAGGATGGAGACTGGGAAGTAGAAAGAGGGTTAGGGACCCTGAAGCCAGGGATTATTGAGACTCCGAAACCACCGCTACCCCTGGTGGGTCCCACAGAGACGGTGACCCCTGCAGCGATTCTGAAATCCTGCCTGGAGGGCCCTACTCTTCCCCGACGGGGGTCACAGCTGTCCCCCAGGAGCCAGCCCCCGGATTCCCCACGTAGGCTCGGTTCTCTCACCAGTGCCCCCCCTCCCCTTGCAGAGGGGATGACCGGAAGGGACAGACTGAATCACTGTAGGGGCCAAGCTGGGAAAGGCCTGGAGACCGGATTCGGGGCTTCCGGAGAGCCCCAGGGTCCCCGCCCGAGCCGCCGCGGACGCCTGAGCATTTATGGTAATGTTTGAGTTCATGCGCGGCCGGATGCCCCGCCTCCGCCGGGCAGGACTTGGGGAGCGGGGGCTCGGGGCTCCCAGAGGAGCCTGCGCCGGCGCCTTCCCGCCGCTGCCGAAGCCCGTTGCACGCGCGGGCGCGGGGCGCGGAGGTCAGGCAGGTGGGCTGGCCGGTTCCCAGAGGCCTCTCGGGTCGCGGGGATCAGAGGGCCAGACTTGCTGCTGGGGCTAGGATAGGAGGGCTGTGACCCTGTCTGTCACCGCTGCTGCTCTCCCGTGGAGTCCCTAGTTCCCAAGAAGAGTCCCCATGCACCCACATCCTCTTTCTCCTGCTCTCCCCCACTCCCTGGCAGAGGAGGGGTGGAGAGGAGAGGCCAGCAGCTCCCAGGGGAGTCCCCGGAATGCTGGGAGCCTGGGAACGGACCCTGCAGCTCCTGGGAAAGCCAGGAGTAGGGAATCCCACCATCGGCCCCCTCCCCAGGAAGCGCCACTGGATGCCAGAGACCCCAGCTCCCCAACAGTGGGCTTCGTGAAGGTGGAACCCCACCCGCAGCGGCACCCCAAGCCCAGCCTAGCCCGACCCGGAGTTCAGTAGGCCAGCTGGGCCGCCGCCGCCCCTCCCCCAGGCCGGCTCCCCTGGCCTGCTCTAGCATAAGCCTAGTCTTTGTGCCACACTCCCCGCTCCCCCTTCTCCAGACCCCTGCACAATGGGGCCTTTGCAGCCTCTAGGGTGGGGATGAACTCACTCACGGTTTTCCAAGTTTAAAAATAGCCCATCCCCCCCAAGCCGCCCTCCCCGCCTCCCCTGGTGTGGCAGGGGCACAACCTCCATCCTGACTGCACCTCCTTCCTTCTGCCCTGGGTCAGGTGCAAGGACATGGGTGAGACTGTGTCAGGAGCCAAGAGCAGGGCTGCTTCCCCCCATTCAATCTCTTCCCCCACATCTTCCACCCAGCCCTCCAGTATCCGTTTCCTGGCCCTAGGATGTTCTCAGCAGCAACTGCCCCCCACCCTCCTTCCACCCTGTTTTTCAGCCCTCAGCACAATCTCCTTCCAGTCAGACCCCCACTCTGGAAGAGGCTCCTGGCTTCCCTTCCGATGAGACCCAGGGTGGATCCTATTTTCTGGCCAGACTGGGGGTTCCCCAGACTCCATAGTTGCCAAGATTGCTGCCCCCACCCCCATCTTCTCTCTGCAGCTGCAAACGTCTTTCTCAGCTTCCTTCCTCCTCCTAGGCCCAGCCCGCCCTTCTCACATCATCGTGGTAAGGCCCCTGCACCACCAGGAGGTGCCCTGAGAGCAGAGGGAAGCTCCCAAGGTCCAGCCTCTCCCTGCCCTTGTCCTACTGCCCCTCTCCTCTTCCCCACTTTGCTGGGGGAGGCCCCACCCACCCAGGGACCAGCCCAGGGCCACACCCCGCCTGGGTTCCTCTGCCTGTGGTCAGACCTGCCAGAGAGACACAGGGAGGGCATTCCACACAGGAGGTCTTATCTCTAGCAGCCTGGGTCTCCCAGGTGGGTGGAGGGAAGCAGCAGTCCGGCCCCCGCCTCCGGAGGGAAATGAGGCAGAGGATTAGGACTCTGCCCCCAGAGGACTCGTCTTCCGGCCTTGGCCTACATCTGGGCAAGGCTGCTCCCACCAGGCCAGGTGCTTGAGTCTCTGCCAGGTGTCAGCGGTCTCTGCCCATCCTCTCCATCCCCCTGCTGCTGAGCCTCGATCCTCGCCTGCTGGGAGTTCTGCTGCTACCACCTTCTCTCATTCCTGCTGCTGCTCCTGCAGTGCAAACTTCTGGCATCTGAGAGGACCTGAGGGGGATACCTTCACCTCCCGCCCCGCCCCGCTTTCCTGCCTTTACTCCTGTCCTTCCCCTTTCCGGTTGCTTCTGAATCCTCTCCAAGGTCCTGACCCCGCTTTGTTTTGGAATCCCGAAGTGCCCCCTCCAGGAAACCATCCCTAAACCCTGGGTCTGCTGACCTCTCCCACCCACTTTATCCCAGCTGTAGGCTACTGGCTGTCTTAAAGGACAGTCTCTGGGCTTGTTTGCTGGGACCAAGCAGGGGAGTGGCTGTCATCCTGGGCTCTAATCTTATTTCCCTTTCACTGCAGAGGCTCCTCCAACCCCCACCTGGCTTTACTCTCCTAAGGACGGAAGGAGAATTCAGAACTGACTGTCCTTGGTGGTTAGCTGACTTTGTTTTCAGGCCACTGGAGAAGAAAATGATTAGTTAATGGTGTTAAGTGAAAAGGAGGGGGTGGGGCCAGGGAGCTGCTCCATGCCCAGCTCCTGGCCACCAGGGCAAACAGTATCCTTCAGCCATTCTCGGTCCTGCCCTGCAGACAAACACACTCATCCATTCCAGTCCCATCCAAGATCTGGGCCCTGAGCCAAAGCCATACATTCCCCCTGGGGGACCAGGAGCCAGGGTCCTCCTTTTGCTCTCTGCCCTCAGGCTCCAGGGCCCCTGCCTGGCGGGCTTAGCATGGCCTCTGGCTGGAGAGTAATGGACAGGGAGGAGGGATCAGAGGGCCGAAAGACAAGGCTGATGCAGTTTGCCAGTCATCTCTGTGTCATCAGAGCATTCTCTCAGGTCACCCAGCCATCTCTGGCTTTGTGGCCTCACCCCGTTCCTCCCCCAGCTAGCAGGATGGCTGCCTGCTGGGTGACAGACCTCCACCCCAAACCCAGGCCCTATCTGACCCTCCTTGGGGGACAGGTTCCAGCAGGCAGGACCGCTTCCACAAAGCCAGGGTGCTGGGGTCTCTGTGAGGCAAGAGCCACCCTCCTCTGTTGTATCAAGAGGCCAGAAGACCCAGAGAGAAGTTGGGGTTTGCCACCTTGCCCTGTGGCAAAGCCCGCTGAGGCACAGAGGCCTGGCAGCAGCCGGTCTCACTCCTCCAGGCAGCCCTCCTCCGCCTGCTAAGCTTCAGCCAGTGGGGGCTCGGAAGCAGCTGGGGGGGCCAATAGTGCTGCAGGGTCCCTTTGTGCATCAGGGTAAGCAAGGGACTTCTGGGGGTGAAGCTGGGGACCCTGCGTCCATAAACGCTCCCTTCTCTTTTCTTCATTCAGGTGAGGGAAAACTGAGTCCCAGGCCAGGCTCAGGGAGCAAATAGGGCAGGAACAAAACTCTCCCTCCTGGGCTTCGACAAATGTGAATACCCTGGGCCTGTGAACCCTGCCCTCTCCCTCCCTTCTCTGGGCCAAGGCAGACTCGCTTGGCTCGGCGGATAAGGCAGTTCAGACAGCACTGGCTCCACTCCCCCCCGCAGGCACCTCTGGGTCTGTGGGACCTGGCGCACGGTTCTTTTCCAGAGCTGCCAGGACTGCGAGGAGGCTGGGGGTAGTGCCAGACCGGCAGCAGCCGCAGTGGAGCAATCATTTTGGGAGGCGACCAAGGCCCGCCCCGATTGCTCTGTGGTAGAGCAGGGGAGCCTGAATGGAAGCCCCCACTGGGACATCGAGGACTGGTCCGTTACTCCTGGGTCAGGAGGTCCCCCAAGGCGACACCGCCTGGCGGGCTGAGCGGGGTGGGTGCTGCTGCTGCGGCGACGCTGGGCATCCGGTCCAACTTGTCGCTGCCGCCTTGGCCAGTCAGCCCGGCCCGAGGACACCTGTCACTGCCCCCTCTGCCTTTCCAAGCAGGAGGCTGAAAGGGCAGCTGTGGCCTGCTGCGGCCGCGCTCCCGGGCGCAGCTCAGGCCAGAGCCGGGCCCGCCCCTTAGGGCTGCGGCGCGAGGCGGGGGCGG